AAATTCAATTTCAATTTATTTTGATTGCATGAATTAAGGAGGAAATTTAGGAAACATTTAATGGCTAATGAAACTCTCAAATTTCAGATTTGAAATTCGAAAGAGGAGGGGGAGAAGGAGGCTGTGGCAATGGGGAGCTGCTAGGCTGGTCGGCGGGAGGCCGGTGGCTGTCGGCGGCTGAGCTGACCGGCGGAAGATGGAGGCAGGGTGGCCGACGACTTTGAGTTGCTTAGCGTGGGTGGTGGCAAGAGCAAGGGGAAAAGGAAGAGATGGAATTTTCAAGGCTTCGACGACTACGGATTTACTAACCTCGCTTGTCTCCACGTTGATTTTCCACAAGATTAGATAATTCGAAAACTGGAATTCACAAAGAGATCTAGTCTTATCCGGCGAACTAGAACTCACAAAGAGATCTAGTTTTCTCCGGCGAACTCACTAAGAGATCGTGGGGAAATGAACTCACAAAGAGAACAAATGGCTAAATTTCATTTTCATCAAAAACTAAAAGATTACAATGCATAATGCCTCATATAAGAAGGCTCAAACTAAAAGAAAAGAAAATACATGAACGCCCTCAGGGCTACATAAGTCAAACAATGCCCTCAAGGGCAAACTAGGAAAACTTAGAAAAGAACACATGACATAAGCTGTAAATAACTCAAAAGTAGAGGCTTTGGATCGTAGCCGTCGATCTGCGCCGTCGGCGATGGTACACGTGTCGAAATCTGATGTCCCCATCATGACACTTGAATAAAGGAATGAAGCTAGCTCTAGATGGGCACAAGTACAGATAAATAGGCGGGGACATCACAACAGAACAAAGATCATGATCGTGGCCGTCGATCTCCGGCATCTCCTGAAGGTACATGTGTCGAAATCGTTGCTGATGTCCCCATCACTCCAAACATTTCAAATACATAGCATTCCTTTTACACTGTATTTTATTTTACTCTACATTCCTTTTTCAGCAACCAACTAGCCCCATAGTTTAGTTATTTATTTATTTACTTCGAAGCTTGAAATTGCAAATATTATTCTAAATTTACTCCAAGGCTCAGAAGTCTATGAATTTTCCTATATAATTACATTCTTTTATTTGGTGTTATCTTGAATTAAATTAGAATAACTTTATTTATCTTTTTCAGGAGTGTCTAAGCAAAGGGTTGAAATTTTAAACAAGTATGGAGAGAAACTTGTTGGCGTGTTGCATTCAACAGGTTCCAAGAATCTGGTGATTTTATGCCATGGATTCCGCTCCACGAAGGTATGTTCATTGGAGAATCTGTATTTGTTTATTGAACTACTTCATGGCATTTATATGCCATGCCATATATGAAGCCTTTTGTTCTTGTAATATTGTTACATCTTGCTATTTATTGGCAATGGACTTAGATTGATTTCGATTTGAATAAAAAATTTCATTCAAAATACCGTGAGTGTTTAATGATACCTCACAAACAGGAAAGTGTTCTAATTGAAACATTTTGGAGTTGCTTTTGCATTTTTTGCAGATAAAGAAAGTGCATAGATTTATTAGGATAAAGGAAAAAAGTTCGTTTGATTAAATATACAAAGTATAAAGATTTCTTAACAAGGTTAACTTATTCTGAACGGTTATTAATAACAGAATGATTGGAAGATAGACTAAATTTTAAATTAACAAAATTGGGTGCTTGTGCAACTTTGTGCATTTCTCATTGGAGATGATATTTGTTAGAAAACCTTTGGATGTGATTAAATATGAATTGTGCTATGTTTAATGGATATCTTGTTTTCTCTAAATCAGGGTTTTAGAGCAGTTAGCTTATGTTGAATTCTGAACTATCTCGGATCATTTTATTTCATTATCGTGCATATTACTTATTAGCAAATACACTTATTGTCGTCACCTTTTTCCATACTTCCCCCTCTCCCTCTCTCTCTCTCTCCACACTTTTTCTTTGTTCTCCCTTGTACATAGTGCACACTGTGGAAAGTGCTCTTTGTAACTTATATGTCCCCTTAGAGGGATCCGTTTGAAGCCCACTTAACCTTATTTCTTTGCATATTAAAAATTGATGTATTAAATACTACTAGATGAGATCTTCATCAAATATACTAGTCAAATGCCCTCAAAGTTAAGGTCTGGGATCATCTATAATCATTCCTTAGTCGAGTTAATATGGAATCTGTAATATTTTTCAATTTGTGCATACCAAGAGCATATCAACTTATGAAAATTTGGTTCTATCATTTTTAATGGCTCATTTTGTTTAAATTTTGAGTTATGGGATACACCCAATATCAGTTGGTTTTCTTTAAGGCCCTATAATGCAACACATGCCTACAAATATGCTATATTGGTTCACAAAAGCTCAAATGGTCGTAGGCTAGTTAGAAGAAGTCAAATCAGATCAGAACAAATTTGAAATGTGCTTGCTTTAAGCTTTTTTATACCTAATTTTTAATTATGGTCCAATTTTTTATTTTCTCTTTGATTATAATATGTTTAAATTTAATGTTTGTTAGATTTTAACAGGATTGCATTTAAAAGTTTAGCTTTATTTTAATAACCTCATTTTTATCAATAAAGATCCATCCATGTCAATAATTTAATTATTATTGATGATTGGAAAAATAAAATTATTTGTGGTCAATTGTGTGTGCTAGATCCAAGTTACGCATGCACATTACTCCAAATTGTGTAGATGGAGTTATCTTTTTTTTTTTCTTTTTCATCGATTTTAATATCAGTGCTTGGATTCCCAATAATTATATTCAAGTCCTAATTTTTAAACTTGTATCCAATGCTTGTAGTTGTCTTTCCACATGATTCCACACTCCACTCTTGCACCCGCTCCTATCTCCTAGAGCCCAATATCCTAACATCTATCTCGCCTCCGCTTGCTAACCCAGTGGAGAATAGTTCCAAACCATCCTGCAAGCCACAACTTAATTTTAGTTGCTCATAATTCAAGCCTTAAAAATACAGATCCCCAATTTTTGTGCTCATCTTATCGTCTATGTGTCGCTTAACAACGTACATTCGATCACTTAGCTCTCATTGCATGCCTTTTCGCCCATATTCATTCTGTTTGCACCGTGCATGCACTTGCCTCCATCTCTGCAACCCATCAACACTAGCATTTGTCCTTGCTTGCTTCACACTGTTGTTAATTGCATGCAATTATGCATCTTTGTAGTCCTATTCATAAATTTGCAATGCATTTTTTTGATTTCTCAACGCATTATGCTATTTTACATTCACATCCACGTGATACACAACAGTGCATATGCCTGCCACACATTTTGATCACTTTGTGTGTGAACCTAGCTTCCTTTGCGTACTTGTAACAGACGTTATGATAGCCTCTTCGATTGCAACATTGACTGGATCGTGATTGCACTAAGTACCACCATTGGCCACTTGTTGTCAATCGTTGCAACCACCAACAATTGGGGGAAGATCTTCTTTTATGATGATTATAGCTTTTTAACTTCTGATCCTGTTACGATAAGGTATAATGTATATATATATATATATGAGAAATCTTATAACTCTGCATAACAATTGGCCTGCCTATTATCTTGAACTTATCATACTTTGTGAGAATTACAGTGAAGAAATTTAGTGCTCCTCCAAATATTTTCCCTCTTATTATTGCATGATATTGAACTCAAGTTAATTTTTCTTACTTAAGGCACTGAGCTTGTTTTTTAGATTCGAAGAACATTTATTATTCTTGCAATGACATTTGTTAATAATACTTTAGGTGTTTGTTTATCATTTTTATATCTTGTTGGCGGCCATCATATTTTGCATTAATATTGTTTGCAATCATGTATTTCCAGACCTAAAAAGATATGTATGCTTATATTCAAATCATTAAAGATATGTATGCATGAGCTATTACTTGTGTTCAAACACAAGGTGGATTGACCAAGTATTTCCCTATTTCAATTGGGTTACATCAAGGATCAGCCTTAAGCCCATATCTTTTTGCTTTAGTCATGGATGTTCTCACTAGACATTTGGATGTTGTTGTTGTATTGTTTGCAATCATGTCATTCACTTTATAATATGCACAAAATAATTTTGATGAGTATTCTATTCAAAATAATTTATTTATAGTGTATATCACCAATACAACCTGATTGATAATGATAAAAGAGTCACGTATTTTGAAATTGAACTTAAGACGAAACATTAATACACTTGAGATTTATATGGCCACCTTGAAACAAATGTTGGAAAATTTATTTGTGCAACAAATATGTTCCAAAGGTGCATTCACCAATAAACAGGTTCTATGGAACCCAATCCTTCATTGACACTATAATTGATTCTAGACCTTGTGATAGTTTATATAAGGGTATATGCCAACCTCATGACTCATTTGTTTTTGCAAGGTATATATCCATCAAATCATCCCCTCCAAGGATAAGATTGATTTGGAGCAACCCTTCTAAGTGCACCTACCGTTGATCATGGTTGTATAGCTGATAGTTGTCATGATTTTATCCTAAGGATCAAAGTTAATGCTCTCATATTCAAGAATCTCCATGAACTTGATGCTTACATGGATTGGGAGTTTGTAATGGACCACTTTTTTGCTTGGCATAAAATGAGTGACATGCAATTTATCAAATTTGCCAAAATCATCTAAACAATACTTGTTATTCCCCATCATTATATGATCTGAGATGAAATAAATTTTATGGTATAAGTATTTGCCACTTCATTATAGGACGGATGTTCTTGAGACTCTCTTGAATTCTAGAAAAGGTTATCAATCAAATACTAATTATCTTAATCAGTTTGATGAACTTTTATAAGTTTTGAGATTTTTTATTATGATTGCAATTAACTACTAGATTCACCAGTGACACGCCTCTCGAGATAAGGTTAAAAGTGTTTTTATATAGTTCTGATAATATTGATGATGCCTACCACTAGGCTTTTAAGTTAGAAGAATTTTTTAGGATTTCATCACACAATTTCTCATGTAGATTAATTCTAGCAAGTCATCGACCGCTACACCATGGTTGAAAACTCCATATTTTAACCAAAGTTTACTACTCTAACATTATCAAATGGCCTTTAACTCCCAGTCACAGTCTACACAACAACAAAAGAATGTATTTGGTAAATTAGTTAACACTTCGATGGTTGCTTGTTTCAAGTTTTGCTCGAAATTTTATGCCATCAAACAATGCACTCATCTTTTGAAACTTTAGATTCCAATATTCTAGAAGAAGGTGAGTTTGAGGATTTGATTGATGACGAGTCTTTGATAGATGAGAATTTTCAAAATTTTATAACAGTCCCATGTAATAGTATGTTGTGAATGCATTTTCATATCCCCAACCGCTTCTAGGATTTGTAACACACTGTATTCTCCTAATGTATGCATCTTACATCAAAAAGATTTGCAATTTAGCCATTGAGTATGTGAATTCTATTAATGTCATCTCGAAGTAGTGTTGTTTAGAGTTTGTTTGACCCCATAGCTACATTCTACTCCTTTCCATGTGGCTTGGGTGAACCAATCATTTCTACCTTTTAGTGAGCTTCCGATTTCCTACTAAGTTGGATAGTTACAAAGACAATATCTAGTGTGCTATCCTCCTTACGGGTGTTACAGATATCCACTTAGGGTGCCCATGCCTTTTTAACGTGAATATTATCTATAATGGGATAGAAAACACTTATATTTTTAATTTTAATGGTTCCTCAATTCGTTTGGTGCTTGCTAAAATTATTGAGTCTTCATTTAAGCAATCAAATAAGCTTTTAGATTTGATATGAAGGCTATTTCTAGTCAAGCTGTCGAGAGTAGACTACAAATTTTACTTGTTTAGTCAAATGCTTTTGACATTACTAAGCCATTCATGGTTTTGGCACAAACATCCATAGTTTTGACCATATTGCTGTCCATTTATAGTTTACTTTTTTTTGTGGCTAAAAGGATGTCTAGAGGACCATCACTATGCCCCTTTTACTATTTTTATAGGTCACACATGAAAATTGTCCTCCTATTTTTTGAAAACTAATTTTTTATTATGTTTACAAATATTTTATCAAATCTTAGGCTATCACCATTGATGAAGCATTTGATAAGCTTTCTTCCTTGATGAATATTGAACACATCATTATTTTCATATAGAGCTATTATCACCGAGATTACTAAGCTCAAACGTTAGTTAGATGTACTATAAAAATTATTTCTACTGGAACGTTATTTTATCAAAATTTTGAAGGAAGATCATTGGTTTGTGTGTCGTGATAAGTGCACAATAAATAAAATTACTACAAAGTACAAATTCCTTATTCCTAGATTGGATGAAAAATTTTATATGATATTTGGGTCATTGCACCATACAAAAATTGATTTGCATTGTTGGTGCCATTATATCTAAATTCGTCTATAGGATAAATGAAAAACAATATTTAATCTAATGGGTTATATAAATGGTCTATTTGTACTTTTATGAGATTGATAAATCAGGTGCTTAGGCTATTCATTGGTAACTTTCTAGCTGTGTACTTTGATAGCATTGATTTAAAACTTGATGTGGATTGAGTTGCTTGATCATTTGCATCAATTATTATCTAAGTTAAGTGATGTTAAGTTATATAGTAATCTCAAACGGTGCACATTTGTGCAGCTTAAGGATGTATTTTTTGGCTTTACGGTGCCTTTTAAGGGACTTGAGGTAGATTCCTAAACAAATCAAAACAATTCTAACTTAGCCACCTCTAATATCTATTTTGATGGGAGTTTTTATGAGAACTACATTTTGTGATGGTTCATTAGGAATTTCAGTACCATCGTTGTCCCTTTGATAGATATTTTGGAAAAGAGAAGTTCAATGGACACCATTTTTTGGTAAAGCTTTTGAATAGATAAAGGTATTGATGATTGCATCAACAATTTTGAAACTCCTTGATTTTATGAAATATTTGAGATATCTTATGACTTTTTTTGTTGGTATATGTGACTACCTTAGTCAAGGTGTACTTTATTGAGAATTTGAATGATGCTAAATAGTTGTATTCTATATATGATAGAGAATTTTATGTTGTCATTCAAACGTTAAGATATCAACAATATGATTTGATACAAAGAAAATCATTTTTTTCTATTCGTCATGTCTTAACATATATAAAAACTAAAAAAAAGAGAGTAATATACATGTTAAGTGGATTGAATACCCTTAGTATTATTATTATTTATTACAAAACAAACACCATACATTAAAAAAAAAAAGATGCACTATCTCTAGTTTCATATGTAAAGCTTCCCAAAGCAACCACTTTAACTTTTCCTTTTCCCAAGCCAACTAGTTCCCTTCCCAAGCAAGCTACATTAAATTCTCTCTCTTCCCAAAGCAACCGCTTTAACTTTTCCTTTTTCCAAGCCTAATAGTTCTCTTCCGAAGCAAGCTACATTTAATTCTCTATCTTCCCAAAGCAACCACTTTAACTTTTCCTTTTCCCAAGACAAATACTTTCCTTCCCAAGCAAGCTACATTAAATTCTCTCTTCCCAAAGCAACCACTTTAACTTTTCATTTTCCCAAGCCAAATACTACACTTCCCAAGCAAACCACATCAGCCCTCTCTCTTTCCCAAGCAACCAACTATACCTTTTCACCTCCCAAGATGACTTCTCCACTTCCAAATCCTCCTATAGCTGAAACTTTCTTTTCTTCCTCACTATTCTACCCTTCCAAGAAAAACCTAGCATTTACTTTTGCAATGAGGACATCGATTTATCAAAGAGTAAGGGTTTCAAGGGGAATCCAAGGAGGAACTAGTTGTCATTTCGTCAAGAACTCCATTTCTCCCATTCATGAGCAAAGTATCAAGCCCTTCCCTTGTTCTTCTTCTAACTAAATATTGATCTTCTCATTTCATCTATAGTAACATCATCTCATATGTGTTGATTAATCTGCCAAGCCCTACTTAAATTTGAGCGATCGGAAACTCTACTGACCGGTCCCTTAATTAAATATTGGACTTGTGCCAACTCATGTTAGCTAGTTTAAATTGATTCACCTATTTTTAATGTTTAGCCTTTACTGGTTAGTTTCTTGGTATCACATGATCTAATAGTTCAAATTTTCTCATTGTTCTTAATGTTTTATGAAGTTTATTTTGCAATCTTTGATGTTATTTTAGCCTAAATCTCTATTTGAATGACTCATTTCGCTTAGTCCTGCATCACATGGCATTAATGTTGTGCACACTTGTTTTTTACTTCATCTTTTATTTGGTTTAACTAGACAATCATAATACATATATTTTAGTTTTCTTGGTAAAAGAAATTTCTTATGGAATACATCGAAATCCAAGGTCAAAATGTGATTACTAGGTATGCTATATTTCCTTCTGATTATTTACTTCATAGCAAAATGAGCGTAAGAATTCATGGAGGAGCCCCTATTATTGCCAAACAAGTTACCTATCCAAACAAAGCTTTAGAATTTCTGAGAGTACGCTCCTATTATGCCAAACAAGGCATAACAAATATGATGTAGGCCTGCATGTAAGGATCAGAGTGCAGTTTTTTTTTTTTATATTTGATGTGTTTATGTTCGCCAAATTTTTTTTCCCGTAGTTAGTGTCCACTAGTAACAAGATTATGTTTTTGAATCTTTTTGTTTCAGGATGAGAAACTGTTACTTAACCTCATTGCTGCATTAACAAAAGAAGGCATGAGTGCCTTCCACTTTGATTTTTCTGGAAATGGGTAAGTTACTTCTGGAAAATGTTTCAAATTTTTTTCTCCTTGAAGTGTCTGTTAATGTAAGTAGATGTGTTTTTTTTTTCCTCTTTGTTTAAGAGAAGAATCTAATGTTGATTAATTGTTCTTGATATTAAGTCTATTATATACAGTAAAAATTTGGTTTATATTATATTTTTTAGGATTTCTAACTCGCAAACATATGTCCCAATTCACTGTATTACTTTGCCTTATAAAAGAAACTTCTTCGCGTTTAGATAGATCACAGTCTGACCACCTTCTTTGAATCCAACATATCTTATAATCACATTTACGATAAAATTATAATTTCTATAGTTAATTACAAGCTTTCAATGAATATGTTCATACAAATCATGCATATAAATATTGTGTAAATGCAATAAGATATGATGCTTGTAGGGGTAATTAAGAATTTTTATTTGCTTGCGAATGGATAGGCTATAGATAAAACTAAGAGGAAAAGTTTATTTAAAAAAAAAAAAGAGTAGTAAGTCTTTGATTGCATAGATACAAAGACAAATCTGACAAATAGACAAATCTGACAAATAGACAAATCTTCTTTCTTGTCAGTAACAAATCATTCAACTTAAACAACTAGACAAATAGACGTGCATACCATATGAAAGAACAATTTTCTTAAAAAAATAAATTCACATGGCTTAAAGATTAATGGACCGTTTGGGGCAGTTGCATTTGTTTCTAAAAATTGCAATATAACTATTGCTGGAAAAACAAATTTTTTGAAAGTTTCCATGAGTATTATAGATTTTTTTATTGAAAAAGTTGGATATTAGATTTCTTGCAACTACTGTACTATAGTAGATTTGATAATAAAAAATTACTTCTCACAATAATAATTGTTAAACTACGACAATAAAATAGAAGTGTGTGGGCTCCGAAAATTCGACCCCGGCCTCCCCGCCGCGCGATTTTTTTTTATTATTCGGCGAGGGAGTTTTAACGAACTAAGTTCCGG